GTCGAGGCCGCTAACTTATCCCTGTTTCTAACACAGGGAAAGATTTTCGATTACATCCAAATACCAACTGCTGGGCGGTAATTAAATGAATTCAACCTTGGAATCAACCCCTCCAGAAACTGCATAAATGTGAAAAAATAATATTTAATTGGGTCTGACCGTTTTCTACTACCAACTTCAAGCGACAAGATATACCAACCTTCAACTGTGAAAAATATGACTCTTGCGAATGCATTTTGAGTGTAACAGCTATCGAAAACCAGCCTTAACAGTGCAAGAAATTTTGTGATACCCAGATTGGTGTGTGCAGCAAACCAACAACAAGGCACTCAGTATTTACTTCCCTTCCTACTCGTTAGGAGGGATGGATCTTTACTTCATTTGACAGGTAAAATAAAATTCCGCGCACGTTACCATCCGGCACCCTCCTTCTTATTTGCTTATTCTTGAAAATATTTTTGACGTTTTTAATATATGATTCAGAGTTTAATTTTATGTAATGTGAGAGTGCATTTTTGCCTGATTTGTTTTAATTTGTGACCTTGAAACATTTCGGACGGCTGGAACACGTACCGTATGCTCTACCAAATTCAACGAGAGGCGTGTATTGAATATATGCATGACCGCCATTTACTGCCTAGAACACGTACTTGTGCGTGCGGTCGCACAATGAACATGCACTAGTTACTGTTAAAAGCAAATGCAGTCGAGCTTGTCCGACACCCACTGTGTGGATGTTCGGAATGTGCGACCGTAAGTTGAAAAAAGGATACTTCCAAAGAGTGGAGAATCGCTCTGCGTGGTTTCGTTGTACGTTATCCAACAATGGATCCAGCCTGGAACTACTATTTACATGGATCAGTGGGCCGAATACCGATCATTGTGTTTCCATGGTTATATACACATGTGCGTGAACCACACAGACGGTTTCGTGAACCCTATAACTGGTGTCCATACGAATGATTTTGAGTCCTTTTGGAGTCACATCAAAAGGAGATTAAAAAACGTTACCGGGTCAGTGGGTGACGTTACATGGGAACATTTGGATGCGGTACAGTACTGTACGTGGTTCCGTACAAAAGTTTAAGAATGACGCTGACACCTATTTACGACACGTCGCGCAGTTGTATCTATGTTGAACGACATTTACGATTTATTATATTATTCATTCCATTACTATTTCCGTTTTTATTTGGTGTGTACATCGGGTGATACACTTATACTACTCATGAGTAGTATTTTTTACGAAAATTGCCGCCGCGGGTACCGGATGGTAACGTGAGCATAAAATTCTTTGAAAAACTAGGTCAGTAGGTCATCATTCTTCGTCTGCTGAATTACTCCTTGAGCATCACTGAGATAAACCCATTGCTAAGTGGACGGGAGACGTGATTTTAATTTGTTGGCGAAATCAATATGTACTCTGCTCTGTTGGGCGTTCAATAACGGCTTCCTATCACATGACCTCAACTTCATTTCAAATTGAGCCATCATTTCCCAAGCGGTAGAGTGATCAAAAATGACTAATCTGCCCGGACTGGTTGTATGTAACTTTTCTCCAATGCGATCAGATTCAACCATTGTCTTGATTAGGTGTAATCGGTTTTCTCCCTCTTATTTTATGTTTTGATGGAGAAATTCCGTTGATTGTACAATAAATTAGGTTTATGTTCATTTCAAAGCATTTGTACAAGTCTGGAACTGAGTCACTGAATTTATATGCCTCTCGATTAATTCACCTCTCAGCTTCATTTATATGTCAAAATCTCTTGAATGTTTCATCCGGTTTGGGTTTGGTGACACAACAAAACGCTCATTCCACGAGACGCTCACGTCAAGGTCAACATGTGTTTTATGGAATATAATTTTTGTTCATTCATTAATAGGGATCATGCGTGAGTAGCTTATAGCAAAAAAGTTCATCAGTTTACTTAATCTAGAAAATTTTCATTAATTGGCTTATTTGCTGTGCACTCAATGAAAAGGAATGAGCTATTTAGAGTATGTGTCTTCAACTTAATAAACGCTCTCATGAAACAGAAATCATTCATTAGAAAGAATGAATTTTCATGCTGCTTTGCATAAAATATTTTCAAAATCTGAGTTGTAAATTTCAAACTACTCCAAATTGTATCGTGACACTCAAGGTTGAGCAAATTCAAACGGCGAAAGAAGAGTACTAAGAACATGGAAGTGGGAGATAAAGACAGGAATAAATACACTTCATCCGCAGCTATCGATATACAAGTATATGGAAAATGAAATGTATTTCAAAAATGAAAGTGATGCTGTACGAGTTTGCTCAACACCTATATGTGTATCGGCCCCAATTCATTCTGTATGTAAAGAATCTTCAATTGATCGTCCTGAAAATCTCAGAAGTTTGATCACAGAACTGTATCCGTGCTATGTATGATTTGTTAAATGGATTACATGCATAGTTTGATCAAGAACTGCGCATAACAAATATGCCATGCTTACCATCATAAGCAGTGGCTCAACCGTTTTTAAGCACCGATTTTCTAGCGGACTGTGAAGGCGATTGATTCGTTTGAACTGGTCGAAGCGTCCACCTCGATTGGATGAGAGCCGTCTTCTAAGTGACCACGTCTCCTCCAATTCTGATTGGTCCAAGCAGCTTTCGCGGGCATTGTGGAGACACGATTGGGTGGCACCACATCCGTGCTCGCGACTGATTTCATTAATTCAGCATGCGTTCGTCTCACGTGACTATCATGCGCAGCGTGTGAAGCAAACGGCTTCCAGCAAAACTTACACTGAGCAGGTAAAAGGATCGGCAAAAGAGTACACGCACTCAAACACAAATAGAGATAGAATAGGGGGTTCGTGTGAAATGGTAAGTTAAAAGGCTAAATTTCGAAGGGGATATCGGACTACTTTGGGGCGCTCAGAATGACTGAGGCAGCTGCGTGGCCACGTAGACTGTGATTTCCTACTCAACGTAAGTGCTACCGAACGCCAGTTAATTAGGGTCAATATTTACCTTCAGTGCCTCCCGCGGGTTTTCATTGAGACGATACGTAAACTTTCGTATGGCTTAGTTGACGAGGAATCCTAATGCGAGTGCTAACTTACTCAACTCATTCCCCCTCTGACTTATCACTGTATCGCAGTTTGTTTGCACAGATGATGGAAGCTCTCATGGTCTTTAAATGAGCCTGTAGCCAGGAGGTAGGAAAAAGGTTGAAAAGATATACAGATAAACTGAGGAACTGGTAAGATAGTGAGTAAATCTGGCAGACAGCTTATAGGCTATTTATTCCGTGGGTAACCAAACATCGATTTAGTCATGATGTTCTTTGCTGTGTATACTGTGTATAATTAGTATATTGCAAGTGATCATGCTGTAACAGAACTGAATGATTTATAATTGACCAGATGGGAAAGAAAATGTTGATCATGAACCCTTGTTCCTGCCTGATGGAAGGTTATAAAATGAAATAGATTATCCGAAACATCTTTGAAACATACAGTAAAGAGATAAGTATAATCACTTTGATTTAGACAATAAATATTTTGATTATCAATTTTAGTTGTTTTTTACGAATCGTGTGTTGCACAACAAGCGTTTGGAAATTGTTCCAACAGATTTTGTGCAATCGAACCGAGAAAGATCAAATTACCGGGTATGGCGGACGATGTATCTCGTCATTCATGCACGGGTCACGACTATCTTATTCATGATATCACACTATATGTGGTGCTCTTCTCACTGCACCAGTTCCGATGGAACTCGTTTAAGCGAAGTGCCCTGATCGTCAAATCATTTTGCACATCTCGTACAACCTCAGTGGTTCTATCTAACATGCAATACTTCTATGATTAAAAATCTCAAGTGTAACTAAAACGATGCATTGTTTTGCATTCACAAGTGAACTCTGATCATTAGAAGGGGATACAAGAAATATGCTGAGGATAATAAGCCGCTCGCAAAAGTATATCCTCATTACTGTCATCAGTTTATTAATACTGCAACATATGTCATAATTACCACGGTCGAGGCTTAATTATTGCGGGTTTTGTCTATAGCTTCATGGGAAACGGTGTTCTAAAGCGGTCTTTTGTGAACGGTGTTTATTATCCTCGGTCAGTTAATGTATCCACATCTCAAGAACAGAATTCACTTTGAGTGGATAAACGAAACGGTAAGTATATATTTTATGATTTCAAAGGGGAAATTAGTCGTGTATATGTCAAATGAAGCGTGAACTGAAAACCTAGGAAGCACTGGACATCTGTTTCGACCTGATTGAGTTTCATCAGCAGCGCGAATCCATCGACCCAACTGAGGGCTTGTGAGTGCAAAACAATGCATCGTTTTAGTTACACTTGAGATTTTTTTATTTCTAGAATTATCGCATGTTAGACAGAAACACCGAAGCTGTACGAGATGTCAAACGGTTTGACAATACGGGCACGCCGGTTAAACCTTCTCCAACCAACATGTGTTGCAGTATGTAACCCCCATACCTTCTTATTTCTTAACCAAGCTTCGCAACAACAATATTTGTAGAAAATAATTTTTTTCAGCTTCGTTGATTTCAGAGTATGCCGATACTTTTTGATCTGACTCGCCTACTGCGGCGTGACTAAATTTTGTGCGTCAAGACTAAAGGATTGTGGGTTTTTGGCTAAAGCATTTCGGGTTTTGGCTAAAGGAATGTGGGTTTTGGTTAAATCTTGATGGGAAAAGGTGTAGAACTTCACTTATATACCAAAGTAGTGATACAGGTATTCCGTAATGACATTTAAACTTTGAGTCTAGAAAAAATCTCTGGATTTCGCACTGCCTATTGAAACACAATTATAAGGATATGTGAAACTGAAGTATTTCGAAAGATTGATTCACTTCAGCAGACGGCGTATTTTTGGAGCGTGTACGGTTTTTCATTAGCACTAGGTTTGTTTCTTCAAGAACTCTGATCACTTGCCTGGGATGTGCAATCACTAATGAAATTCTAGTCACGCTAATACCTAACCTATACTTTGATCCAGTGACTTTTACTAAAATGATAATCCCCAAAGGAAGAACAATCGGGATTCTGTTATCGCTTGTTAAATCAAAGATTTTGGGTTACACACCCAAAGATCAATAACAATTGAAGATTTGTTTGACAATAAATTAGCTGGTATTTTATCAAATATAGCACAATACAAACAGGATTATATTCCTGACTCACAAACACTTGGTTCCGGATGACGTGCACACACACATGTGGGCATAGCAACAGTTCATGATCGAAAAAGAAAAACGCGCGCATCAACCAACTCACTTTGAACGGTTTCTCTCCGGAATGTTGTCGAATATGCGTTCTTAGGATACTGCTAGCGGTGAATGCTTTGTTACAGTAGCAACATTTGTACGGCCTCTCTCCACTGTGAACCTATGTGCGAAATAGGGTGTAAATCATTCATTAACCAGGGGATAAAACTAAGTGATTGGACGTTTTATTTGATATTGCAAAAGTATTCAGATCAAAGAGAAGGGGGTCAACCACGTGCGATAAACCAATCTGAACTACTTCTGATCTATTCATCTTAGGCCTCGGGATTGGCGCGGCAGGGGGGCAGTGGAGTATAGAGACAACAAGGATGAAAATCGATAACAAATTTGTACAATTGCATGGTGCCCTATCGGTCGCTTGAGGGTAAAGTGAAACAATTTTTCAGTGACCCAGTAATAGAATGCTACTGTTTTACTTGGGAGGTTCCAGATTAGGCAGGTTGTGTAATCCGTATTGTTCAGCACACCCATAATTTCGCAACTGTGCTTTTCTTCACAGTCTTATTATGAGCACTTGTTTGCACTATATGAGGAGAATGGCAACATTTAGACACAATCGCTGTTCACTGAACGAAAAACCATAACTTCGTATTTGAGCGATCTAGTAAAAATTAGCATTATTTTTCCTATCAAATAAACAGTCCCGTGACGGGAATGGATCTTGTGATCAAATGTTTATTAAACCACAATATCCATTACTAATGTGAACTCAGAGCACGAAACTGGTTTGGTGCCGATCTGTTCTAGTTCAAAAGACCTCTCCTTTTCGATAATGCTTTAGGTTTATACATCACCAAACGTAATTGCATATTAACGTACAAATATATGCATATATTCATACATACATACATACATACATACATACATACATACATACATACATACATACATACATAAATACATGAATATGACGAAAAGACAGGCATGCAACTATACATCAGTGTGTGTCATAACGGATTGCGCATTTTGTGCAGACAGACAGACAGACAAACAAAACGGAGTGGTTACTTGGCTCATTTTGACCACGGCTTTATCACTGAAGAACAAATATGATGTGTATTCAGAGTATCATGTTTGAACTGACGCTTTTGATTGCTGACAGACACCAGGCGCTATTGATGGCTGTGGGTGTGGGTTTTACTCCTTGGGAGATCGTGGAGTCTCCATTAATTAAATGCATTTATGCAGTAGAAATATCTGGGATGATGGATGAAGAACACTAGGCAGCTACTTCGACCTGTTTGAGGGTCTTCAGCAGTGTGTAACTTTGCATCGATCATCACATATATTTCCATCACAAGCAAATGTGTTCATTCGAAATAGAACAAGCCGGTCACCTCTGACTGAACCTGTTGTGTATAAATCGGTTTTACTTCAATATAACAGGTCAACTAAGGGTAATCAAACCTAACAGACTTCTGTCCATAAACAGAATAGTACAGTGACAAAAAATGCATCAGCATCAATAACTAACCCGCAAATGTTTGTTCAAACTGGAAGACTGGCTGAAACTTTTCTCGCACAGATGACATTTATGCGGTCGACGTTTCTCGTGCACATGAAGCACATGGATTCGCAATCGATCACGCTTTTCAAATGATCTAAATTTATGGTAGAAGGCAAATAATTGATCAAGTGCAGTAAACAAAATATTTCTTACCTCGTTCTAGAGAAGCCACTTTGGCATAAGTAAATACCGAGTGTTTGGAGGGAAATAAATTTGAGTAGCGTATTGTCCACATGAATTTTCTAACTGAATGGAAAAATTGTCTGAGTCTCCACATCACGAGATATCCCTTTTGCCAAACGGCTTCATTTCATGTTTAGTAATTATCGAATTTTGCATCGGAACGATGAAGGAAAATGCCCGGGCAGAATGACGGGCGTGCGGACGAATATCTTCATCCGTAACTCTGGGAATGTCCATCGTACAAAAACCATTCAGATAGTTTTTCAATGCTTTTAAAGAAATATTTTCACACATAGAAAAAACAAAATCGTGAAATGCAATAAGCACTTACCCCCTAGAATGAACTGCTTCACACAGCTTCAGACTAAATAAATTGGAAGTTTATCTAGATATTTGTTTTTCATCAGTATTCCGCGAGTAAAGTTATGGATTAGATCTTTTCCACTTTTACAAGTATAGAATCAAGAGTCAAATTGAGTTGGTCCCGATTTTACTCCTCTTATCATCTGCATTTCACTTCCACATATCTTCTACCACATTGATTACTTAAATATATATCTGAAAAACTGCGTACCGCATAAATGAATAAATAAACAAATCGGAATACTTAATTAAGTTTGAGAAAAGGTAAAACACTTGGTACAAGAGGCCAAGCGTACCTTTTGTGCACCTGTAAGATAGCACGATCTGTAGAGAATGAATTTGCACAAAATCGAACACAACATTCCCTTCATTGAAGCAGTGCAATCCCCTTGCCGTTTCTTTTCCGGGTACGTACTTTTTCAGTGTGTTTTTCAGGCATAAACAATCCCTCATTGGAACGATAATCTCAAGAGATTTCACCAAAGTTTTCTGGCTCGTTTGGCATGTCCGTAATTGTTTTGTTCCTCTTTCTAGTAATATGAGCCACGCGGCAATTGGGTTCGCATACCTCCGTGCAGTTACCTAAGAATTTCTCAAACACCATTGTGATCAGGAGGTAAAGGATAGGCATTTGGACGAGTTAATTGGGTTGATCCAACATTGAAGTGAATATGACGCTTTCTATGGGAGAACTGACCATGGTTTATCACTCTCTGCAACGGCTAGTATCCAAAGTTTTCTCTCTACAGAAAGAAATTGGATAATTTCGAAAATTCTGTCCACAATTCATTTTTTATCCTCAAATCTTCAGCCGTAGAAATTCCTGTCAAATCAAAATTCATGATGACACCATGAACGAGGGAATTACAATGCATGCAATCTCGAACGAGTCGTAGGCTAAAACTAGTTTCGCTTGAGTTAGCTGGGCCCTCACGCATGTGGTGCTTTCTGCCTTTCATTACACATGGTACATAATTTGCTCTTTTTCACCGTTAGCAAACCCAGTACAGCCGAACGGTTGCTTAGCCATTTCTGAATCTGCCTATATCTCTCATATTCAGAATGACTCCTGTATCACGAGAAATAGTTCTTCGCTCTTTGCCTATTAATCAATAAATTTAAATAGCTAAGAATAATTGGTATCCATGGGCGATGATAGGTAATCAAGAGAAGCCCGGAAGTGCCCAATCTGATGGCATTGAGAGAGCAAGATTTGTCTGGTCTCCACTGATTGATTTTTAAGGCATTATGGGATCTGCGGCTGTGAAACACCATTCTTTATGGCTCATAGAGTCATGGTGCACGCAAGTCACGTCACGGTGCAGGCTCGTTCATCTAATCATTGTTCTGGCAAGAATATTCGTATATTCATGACGTCAGTTTNTTAATTATACAAACGAAAATGATCCACTGAACCTCAGTTCCGCGAACTCGTACAAACTAACGGTATCTTGAACAACTGTTTACTTCTTTTCATTGCAGGAGGGGAATTTATTTGAAGTTTTATCTTTTATGAAGCTAGTAACGTCCGCTATATTCTTTGCTCTTCTTAACACTCTACATTCTGGTCGATGTATAGGTGTTTTTTTCTTTTTCTGGTGAATCGCTTTCGAAAATGATCAACATGGAGTATTATTAAGTTCAAACAAAACCGGAATGAATTGTTATTCAATGAGTCACTTACCTCGAGCACAATTTGCATGGATATTTTCTATTGCCCTGGTCCACACATCGCGTATACTTCAAGTGTTTGTCCCGATAGTACTGATAGGCGAACATTTTGCCGCAGTACTCACAAGAATATCCCTCACCGTCTGAATTTGGAATATAAAACATTAGGATTTAGTGTAAAGCAAAAAATTGCATTCCACGCTGATAATAATAATAATAATGCGTGTGAGAGCGCTGAGTCACGTGGGAGTGGTTACGGTGTTTCAATTAATGGTGTTTTCAATCAACAACTAATCATCTTTTAGCGGTGATGTCTAATTGATTTACAAAGGGATCATTTTGAATTATTTACTGATGAAATAAGAATGACCCTCTCCATTTTAAAAATTGATAACGCTAGATTATCAACAGGATTATTTGTGTTTACCTCCGATAAGTGTTTAAATATCTGTCGCTTACCATTACTACATTTAGGTTTCATTTTTAAGTAACTGGCATTTACAAGCACTTGAACTCAGTGTTTACACATACACTGATAAAAACGATTGCATTAAAGTGAGATTTTAGTTTTTCACAACATCCATGCATGACGGAACTTACTGTCCTCAGGTTCTAATACATGTGCCGGTCTTAACTGCACAGCTATTTTTTCCAGATTTTGATTCCCACTGGATGAAGCAGCGTTCGATTGGGCGTATCGCTCGGCATTGCATGCGTCTGCTCCTGATCGAACTGACTGACGGTCACGTGGCACATACGGAAATCGCTCTATCAGTGTGGATCGCATTTTCGGATGGACTGTTGATATTTGTTGAGTCGGTTCCGGCCAGGCTTCCGTAGACCGCGCAGACTCCAAAGGTATCGAACCGCAATTAATTTGAGTATGTTTTGTAAGGTTTTTGGAACTATGAGAGCTATCTGTTGCAGTCTGTGATGCCATTGAGAACAGTCGATATATGAGACTAGAAATAGATGAACCCGGATTAACGGAACTATCAGATATGGGATGCGCCACGGCATTGGGAGACCTCGAGCTTGCCGGTGTGGAATTCTCGATGGGACGATTGTGTGTTTCAGCTGTTTCGCTTGTGGGCCACGGGTTGAGGTGTGATCTAACACTTTGCATTCCTCTGAAAATATGATAAACCAAAGACGAAAGACGTGATACTTCATTGATTTGGTACGTATTGAGATATAATGGTTTCTACCCACATGATAGCCATTTTATCCCAGAAAGACTACAACTCAAGCGTTGAACCTTAATGTGTGTCCGTTGATCTTCACCATACCAAAGCAATGATCTGAAATTTCAACGTTTTCACTTCAGCATGAGCATACGGATCGGATAGACCAGTTAACTGTCAACTAAGAACAATGGTAAAGAACCTAACGGCCGGTGTACGCGGATACAGTATCAAGTTGTGTGTGTGTGTGTGTGTGTGTGTGTGTGTGTGCAAATGACATCACTTCAATGGACCATTGATTGAGATACGGGATGAATGAATCTGTTCAGTTTCCTGTTAGGTGCAATCGACTATGTCTCTGGGGGGAGGGAATTATGCTAAATCTTGCATGTGGAATAGATGGACATGAGACATTAGAATGATACTCAACGGACCAAAAGTAAATCGTGAATGATTAGCAGATTGTTTCAAGTCACAGCAATGGCCGTAGCATTCTGAACATAAAACTACACAAAAACTGAGCGAAAGACAAGCAGCCCTCGAGAGGGGCAAGCAGATAATGTTCACCACGTGATAAACCAAATGACTCACTGTAAAATCAACTCCTCCCCAGGTACAATAAACCGAATGGCTCGGAAATAGACCAATCCGTTGCCACAATTCATGTCAGCCCCGTTTGGAACACCAAGACCGTGTCGATACATCAAGGCCAGTTGTTCGTTCGTATAGAATATAAGCAACAAATTGGCTTGCGGTGTAATGTCATCGTCCGATTGTTGCTGTGTTCCCCGCACAAAATGCATCCAGTTGAGATGAGGGTTTGGTACTTGAGATAGATGTTGTTCTCGCCCCTGTAATGGTTATTTTGTTTAGATTGATGTTCAGATTAGTGTTTTGATGATTGCACTAAAATTACAATCTTTATTGTTAACCATCACATGTTTCCAATTTGTAATCACTGTAGATTTGTATACGCTTTCAACGAAGTGCAGCAAGTTTACGTTAATTTTTTCCATGACAAACATTTGTGTAATGAACAATAGACGGAGTGAACCCTAAAGTTACGAGGACCAGCTGTTCAGTAATTTTTTGTTGTTTTTATGTTTAACTTGTCCGTTAACTTTATTCCCATAAATGCATGGTCATCCCTTGGTCAACCTTAAATTAAATATTACTTAATTTGATCAATAATGATAAATTGTCAAACTCTTTAGACCCTTTCTCTTCCATCTTTTTTAACTTGATGCGATATGTACAACTTTCAATCACGTAATTCGCAATCAAAGTTTCTTGCTGATTGTCAGGCAAGAACATGGCGCAACACATTATGTTCAACCATGATTTAATTATTGTCCATAATTTTCTTTGAGTACCTCATACAATGTCCAAACGGTTACACAATGTATATTTTGTTCAGAGCATTTAATGGCGGAAAATACTTTTTTAGTTATTTATATTTTTGCGGATACATCAAGACACTTATCCTTGGTCAAACAGATAATTACTTAAGGGGAAAGGGGAAATTCACATAACATATTCCGAAAGTTAAATTCACAATGATCGTATAGTTATACGAGTGTGGGGGAGGTCTCGATTCCATTATATAGTGATTTTCCTCGGGTACAGGGCAAACGAAGCGTGTTATTGAAAGATAAGAAATACTATACAGTTAACCTGTTGGGTCTCTTCAGCAGTGGAAACTCACTGACTCAACTACGGATCGAACGCTGGACCTCACAAGTAGAAAGCACGCACGCCAGTCACTGGGCAGCTGATCAGACCGTTTGTGTTGTCTTCACACGGTATGACAAGTTTATAATCATCGGTTGTTCAATATCGTGCATAGACCAAGTGAAACAGTCTGATCATCTACCCAAACGTCAGGTGAGTAGCCTGTGTGAGTTCAAATTGTGAAGTTCCGGGACCGATGCTCAATCGGATTGATGGTTTCACACTGCTGATGAAACCCAAACAGGTCGAAACGATTGTACAGTGCTTCCAAGCCTCCATGCTTCGTTTGATCTGTTCACGAGGACATCAATGACATGCTCATCCAGTTGTTTGCCCATTAACTGACCAATGACAATGATCTGGATGTGAGGTCTGAATGTGTGTGATTAGGTGAGGTGGGCTAGAAATCGTCTCTGAGTACACAAATAAGGATGTGGGTCCCACCACTCCGCGCTGATGACATCCAATCTGTCCTAATTGATGATCGCGAACCCCCGTGCGGGGAGAAGGAATGTTTCGGTCACGTCCTCGGTGCGCTTTTCTCAGCTAGGTATGAAGCCACAAGCTAAATAAATAAATTCATAGTTCTAGTATATGGCTATGCAGAGGGGTGTTCGATTATTCCTACAGAAAAGTGTCTGATCGTGTGACCTACGAAAATAGTTCCAGAGAAACATCAGTAGATAATCGCAAATCACTGAAAACCAGTTTGTTTGGTTTAAATTAAAATGTTTCAGGCTGGTGGGTATTCTTACAGTAAATTGGTTAGCGGCTTATTGTACTCAAAACTTCGGCTAGTTTACACTGAATTGTCTGTTGCACACTACCGTCATCCCATATTCCACGAGGGCTTCAAAATTGGAGTGTTTATCAGTTTCCAATCAACAATATTCAGTAAATTTCATGATATAATTCACGGTTTTGTTAACTATTATTTAAGTTGTTTTCTTCTTGTCTCAAAAATTTCATATCTGAAAATGAATAACATAAAAGTTCGCGCGGATAGTCCTGCTGGAACCACGTGATAAAGGAGCAGTGGATGTGTAAAATTATCCAACTTTTCCACCACCCCCTCACTTATTGCGATTTTAATCCTTAAAGTGAGTGATCTCTACCTAATTTTGCCATCACTAAAACTCCAATGAATGATCTCAAATAAAGTAGAATGAAAATGAATAACAGTATGCAATAGAGTTCAAATCTTAAATCAATCTTTTCACAAATTACGGATTATGTGAGTTACGAGTGGGCGTTTGTGCGCGTGTACATGCGTGACGAATGAGTGAAGGGATCCGCGAAAGCTACACAATAGGGCAACACATCTCCCACGACTCACATTCAGCATTTTACGTGTCAAAGGGGACTGGGTGAACTGAACGAGAAATTTCGGTGAAATTGGTCCAAACATATGTCCTTCTGGGATTGGATAACGGCAGATCACTTTCATCTCACTTGAATTCACCGAGCGTTGTAGACAGATGTGTGGGTCCGACGCAAGATTTGACTCAATGGATCCACTGGATGAATTCGACTCAGGATTAAGCACCGTCTTGTGCGGATACGAAAAGTTGAACGGTTGATTTGTGGAACCACCTTTTGGGGGCCAAAAAAGCCCGTTGATCAGAAAAAATAAAATCTTTTGAAAGTTCTTTTGATCTTTTTATAAATCAGTATGTATTTGCATAAATCTAAAAATTCGCATGACGTGAAGTTCCCGTGGTAATTCAGGCCTAAGAGATGACAGCTACTCTGGAGCGGCACGTCATAGTTTTCGGACACATGCGATCAATCAAATTTGAATGCTGACGTCAATGACACGCGTACGGCTTCCGACTACGCGCCAAAGGCAGATCGTGCCAGCCAATCCAAGATAGTGCAGACAGAAGCAAGATTATGCAAGCAGTATTGCAATCCGATTGGTGGAAGCCTAGATAACCACTAATCTTCTTTTGTATGTATTATTTAATCGCCCTCATTTCTTTCAATAAACGAACTACGTACTACTATTCCCGTGGCCTTTTCCTCGCGTCTCGTCCACCTGGGATATTGCGAGCCCATGTCATTGCGGTCCAGTGCTTCCGTAATCCAATCCGTGACAGCTAATCCTTGACTCGTGTACGGTGATTCCTATTGCGTGTTTTGTATTCCTAATTCCGTACATACTACTACGACTACTACAATCATTATAGTATCGCCTTCATAAAAATTCTTCACATGCATTTCGAAATTTCTAACAGCATGCTTTGTAACTTTAATATCAATGAAAATTTTATGATCAAGGTAAATGGGCTCTTTTGGTAACCGATTTTCTTTTATTACACACCTAGGTGTGATGAACAGCAGACGGGGCGGACCCGATAGTCACGAGGACCTGCTGTTCAGTGATTGAAATCGGCAACCAGAGCCCCGGGACTTAGAGTTGCGAACCACATAAGGCACCGATAGATTAGGCGTGGTATTGAACCGGACGACAGCAGAGCTGCCTACTACCTACTACCGATGCACAAATTGACCATTGTATTACTATGACTTATTGTGTGACTGGTTTAAAAGTACGCTGCGCTGATAGCTAAAAGTAAACCTAGGGTACCAGAAATTTTATCATGCAGGAAACATCACAGATCAGATTCCCTGATTATCTTTCATCAAGTTTAAAAAATCATTTATCTTACCCTTAAATTTTTTTTTCTCTAGAGATATTTTAGACACTATGCGATGAACACAACCTTTTTTAACCTTACATGAACTATAGTCATTAAAATCTTAGCTACATGGAGGTGATATAATTAAATTATTCTTGGGTAACAATACCTCTGAAACACTCAGTATGATCGGGGGTGGGTGTCTTGGTTTGTAGCTGGTCACATTCCTATGGCATCTCACGAAAACTCCTTTACGATCAGGTGTCTCACATGGCTCTTACTGGGGGAACCCTACTCAGTGCCTTCTTGTAGAGGTAGGAAGTTGTCTTCCCGCCAAACTGAGAATTCACCTCAAGGAGTTGGTTAGAAACTCTGATTGCAAACCGAACGAGAAGAGACATAAAAACCACACATACGTTCCCGGTTGTGGCAGTGGTCACCGATCAGATTAGGCTTCGAGGTGTAATGAGCACCTTGGGCGTCTGGCCCCTTCCTAAGGTTGTATGATCCGATGAATTGGACACCGACCCCAANCAAAGGATTGTTTTTTTTTCAAACACCGCCCAGCTACTCTTTGGGTCCAGCTTTGAATAACCAAAGGCTCCGGTTCTAAATTCCGCTAGAAAATTCACCTACTTTGGCCTAGG